CCTCCAGCTCTTTCCTGTCAACTCCTCAAGCTTAGGGGCCCAAACTCTGGGTCAAAATTAATGTTTGATTCAAATAACCCTTTATTCACACATCTATTCAGATGCTGACCTTCTGTTTACTTTCCTCCATTGGTCTAAGGCCAACCTGTCCCTCCAGATACCGCTGTGGTATGTTCCTAAACTCCTCAGACGCTTACCTTTTCATTTATATGGCATTTTCAGAGTGTAATTGTCCCACCCACGTGAGATAAATAAAATCTTCCAAAGCATGAAAGTGTAATTTACTAAATAATATCTTGGCTGCTCTGGAAGTGTGGGCTTCTCAAATAGCAATCCCACTTAATTGTTGTTGCTTTTAACAATATTTGATGGAAAATAAAGACCACATTCATGAGCACAATAAGCACTTGATGATTTTTCAATCAAAGAGAGTATGATTTTATTGTACATATACATATCAACACAGGCACATTTGCAAACACACGGGTACTTCACTTACCTCTATTATTCCTAACACAGCAAGTACAAGGACTAAAACATTGAAGTGCTCTGGGAAGCTAAAATAGATGTAAATCCATATCCTGAAGCTTTTTACCCAAAAAAGGGCTGAACAAAACAAGGTAACTCCAAATTCAGCATCTCCTCATCCTGTTTCAAAAACATACATCCACTTTAAGCCCCTCTGCTCATAATTGCTTTTACTTTATATACATATTTTTTAACATCAGTTACATAATTTCTCAGCCCAGTGGAGATGAGAATCAGCAAATTAGACAAAGCTTGGTAACAGCCTGATAGATTCAAGACACATTGGCAGAAGGAAAAATGAGAAGTAAAGGCTGTCACTGATGGAGAAGAAGGAAAAACAAGCAGAAGGCTTAAGTAAGTTTAGTCTAGGGTCATTTGATGTAGGGGACACTGCTTTTACTATACACCGATAGGCCTGCTCTAGTCCAGGTAAAATGAAATAGCTTATGTTTATTAAAATGAAGCTGAATCATTATACAAAATCCGTATTATACTAAAAAATATTGTTACTTTCATTCATTTATTTATTCAACCGACACTTAAGACTTTTTTTTTTAACTTGGCTATATGCAGGGCAATAAGGATATAAAGAAAATAAGACACGGCAGCGAAGTTTAAAAAGGTGACTATTGGTGGGTAGAAACAAATACAGAGAAAAAATATTTGTAATAGCATACGAGGAACAAAATCTGCTCTTCTAGAAATACATACACAGTGCTACAGGGGCACTCAGTGGGAGAGCTTGAGGATGAATACAATATATCAGAGAAAAGAATTCCCACCCAAACAAATTTCAGTTTAGAAAAGCCCTTATGTAATATGTTGCATCCTAAGTATGCCAGATAAACGAGGCACAGTCACTGTGTGTTACAGTGGTTACAAATGACAAATAAGGCTTGCAGGATATTTGCTTTAGAAGAAATGGTGTCTGTGAAAGCAGTGGTATGTGTAACATTCTAAGAAGCAGCTTCGAATTTATACAAAGGATTACATGCACATATTTAGACAAATCTGGGCCAAACAGGCACTTTAGGCCACAAACAGGATTGTCTTCTAATATGTTCTCAGCATCCTTAACACAACTGCACATGGTAATATGTCATACATACTAAGTCTTCCATTCTAGATTTCTCCATAAATTTGGCACCATTTCATTCCACTCCTTGGAAACTCTCTGGAATTTTTGTTTTGCATAATCCATTTTAGCACTTAATCACAGGCTGCCTTATATTGTCATTTGGTTTCGTGTATGCATTGCTTGTCTGCTCAATTGGAGACTATGAAGTATTATAGGGAAGCAGTTACTTCTAGGGCTCTTATGGCTCCCATAAGCATATAGCATAGAGCTAAATTACAAAGTCACTACTCAACAAATACATTTATTGACTTTAATATGAAGATTAAATCTTACCAATGCCATAAGTAAAGTTGCCAAAGCTGTTTCTTAATTGATGAGAATATACTCAGTGCCTTAAACTACCATAGTAGGTGGCTTGTCCACATAGCAACAGATTGCAAACTCATCCTGTCTACATTTCAAGTCAATCTGACACTTATTATTCCTATTAATCATTGCTGTGAAGATCAATAAGTGGTTCTTAATATCTAGTAGATGCAAATGACAGGAGTTTTTCATCTCTCACCATTGTGAAATTGGACTGTATATATGGTTAATGGAAGTCTGAAGCTACATCTGTTTGCTGGAGATCTTCATGTAAGTACAAAGGAAAGATCTGTGTTCCTAGTGGAACAATCCCCTTCTGCGTCACAAAACCATTCATAACCTGACTACAGATCTAGATTGTGACTAATATTTGGCTCTCATAGGTGGTTACCATAGAGGGGATCAGTAAGAGCATAATTGTCATTTCCTTGGAAAAATTTAATCCGCAGATGGATTCCAACACCCAACTGCATTGGTGTCCAAAACTAATGGGAATTTTTGCTAAATAAAGACTGATTTAGCCAAAAAAGATGTACTCTGACTAGAGAAATCTGTACCACACATCACTCCAAAAAGTATATTTATCCAAGCATTGGTTGTATTGGAACACTAGAATTTTCCTAATAGAGACAAAAGGAAAAGTCACTTAATTAAAATGCACATTTATATTTTTTCCTTCTTAAGATGAAGTGATGAAATTAAACAATGCTATAAAGCATTTACAAAGTTTCAGTTACTTACCAAATGTATTCTTTCATATTTGTTTATGTAGCTAAGTAAGGTAAATTTTTTCATTGAAATTGGGAAGCTGCTTATTAAAATAACCCAATTTTCTCCAACTCTCTACTTCAAGGAATAAGTCCATGGGAGAGTAAGAGAAAAGCCGATGAGAAAGAGTAGGATATTTATTCACCCCCTCCTTCCATAACTAAATTTATACAACCAACTGTGATCTTATAACTTGGTGTTCCTTTCTTTAAAGATTTTCCTACCATATAAAACTACTTTGGCCTGTGGTGCATTCAGTTTATTTACAGTAGAATATTAAAGTAAAACCATTTCAGTCCAAGTTCCAGAGAAATGGCATCTTTTTCTGGGTGACTGATGTTCAAAAACAGCTGGAAATTAAAGTGCTGCCTCTCTGAATTCATATGGTTTGGAAAATTCTTAGCCATCTACAGATGCACAGATTGAATTATAATAAAGAAGAGAACATATATAAATGATTAATTTCCTCCTTCCATTTAGGCTTAACATGTTTTAAGGAATTAATTAGACCTCTCCCACCTGTTTCTTAGAAGAAATCCAATAGAAAACACATTTCAGAAGGTTATCCCGGTGGGATCAGCTGTAACTCATTTTCTGTCCTGGGGCCATCTAGAGTTAGCCTATCTCCAAGTTCCTTTTAGCTTTGGGTTCCCATGCCTCCACCTACTTTGCAGAGAGTTCTTCCCAGCTGTTTATAAATAATACACAACTTAATAAATAAACGTTAAGGTAGACCTCACTCCTGTGAGGCATGATTCCCTCATACAGGGCTTTAAAAGACAAGACAGCTGGTACCCGGGCTTGGAGTACTGTGTAATCTTAACAAATGGAATGGAACAGGAATGCGTTTGGCTATCAGAGCGGTCACACCGCGTGCATAAACTACTCCACACCCTTTTAATTTCAATATTTTGTTCAGTGCTAGGAAAAGAGGCACACGCTAACGCAGGATTAAGCACAGATCTGTAAAACCTAAGCATATTTCACCAGCACCTCCTAGAGGCCATGTGAGGGTATGAGGCTCGGAGGTGAGCACAGACGCAAACCCTTCCCTTGCATTGTACGTTTCACCTCTCTCCCACCACAAATGTATCTGGGCTGTGCCGCCCAGAGTAAGAGCTAGATTGTTGAAGTAGTTTGGCGACTCTGGGAGCTCTTTTAGAGGAGTAAATAAACCGCACGGAAGACGAATTTGATCGTTTGAGGAAGTTAACATTAACCACACACACGGATTTCAAACTCGATGTTAGGAAGAGACTACTAAATGTATTATACACTTACTATGTAGTTTACACACACATACACAAACTCACACGGATTAATCTACGAAGTTCCAGTACCCAGATCCAGTACACATTGAACTGGACAGGGGTTTTTTAAAGGGTCTACATGCTCTTGCCTTGTTGCTGGAATGAGGGCTGGGAGGCGCTGATGCAAGGGCAAAGCGTGAGTGTCTGTAGGAGTTGCTGTTCCAGAGAATTCATTACTCTCTAATTGCTCCGATTTTAGATCAGCAGAGCGTGCCGGGCGGTGGTGGAGAAAGAGATTGAGGGAGGACAACGCGAGAGGGAAGGAGTCGTTCACTCTTTGGAGAAGCTTAGGCGTTTTGTAAGTAATTGACGAACGGTGGGGAAGAGCGAGCCCAGCGGCTATGCACTTGGAATACTCGAGCGCGTCTAAATCCAGCTGGGTTCTGCGCGCCGGCCGCGGTCTCTTTCCCCATTTAATTCGCGGCTCCTTCGCGTAGCGCAGGTTTTGCAGCGGATTCGTGGAGCGTGGGAGGGAGTGGGGGAGCGCCCGGGTTGAAATGCAATCCTCTCAGCTGCAGACGTTTCGCCCTGGCACTGGCACCAGCACTTCTCAGGCCCCTTGAGAAGCACGCACAGCGCAGTCGCACAGAGAATAGAAAAAAGGGAAATGTGGGGCTGGGAGAAGGGTAGGAAACTTTGCCTAAGGCCAGGCTGCAATTAGGTAGCCGCCAAAGCCCGGAAGCGGAGCTTTCCACCTGCTGCTGTCCAAGCTGGGGCGCAAGCTCCTCCTGCCCAACCGGGGCCTGACTCCCGGACCGGGCTCGGAGGCCGGAGGCGTTGGAAACCACGGCAGGTTCTCCTCTTTGGCAGAGCCTAGGGCCGCGGGTGAAGCATCCTCCCCTCCCCGCCGCGGTTCTCGGGGCCGGACGCGCGGCCAGAGTCGCTGCGATTGGCCGGCAGCGGCCTGGGGGCGGAGCCAAGCAGGCCGGTATCTCGTGGGCCGCCTCAAAAGAGCCCAGGATATTGCAGAGCGCACTGGAGCCCTGGCCAGCGCGCAGCCTTCCCCGGCGCCGGCAAGCTGAGTCTTAGGAATTCTGGTTCGCTTTGGCTCACTGGCTCTTACAAACTACTGGATCCTACATGCCTCTTTGGCCCCTAACTTCCACTCCATGTCCCTATGCTCCCGCGCCAGCAACAGGTAAGGGCTGCTGTGTGATTTTTTTTCCCTCCTTCTGTCTCGCTGCCTGTGTGTCCTGGGGAGTGGACTCGGTCTGCTATTCCTGACTCTACCCTGCCCCGTTGCTCCAGAGGTGCCCAGCTGTCATGCTGCAGTGGCGCTCACCCACGCTCCCGAGTCCCAGATCATGCCTATAGAGTTTGTGTGCGCACCAGAACATCCCCAGATCTAAAAATACTGAGACATGCTTGGAACAGTTGAGCAATAGAAACATTTCTCTGCAGCATCTGTTTGTGCTCATAACTTCCAATGCACCAGCTGTAGCAAGATACTGAGTTTGGAGACAAGGGCGAGGGAACTTGCCTTCGACTCTCGACTCTCGCTCTAAGGAAAGAAAGGGAGGGGACAGAAAATGTATCTAACGTACTGGTCTCAAACCTTGGCAGACCTTGGTACTCTTGTCTTGGTTTTGTTTTGTTTTGTTTTGTTTTTTTTTCTTTGTCGTTGCTTGAAGTGTAGCGTCGAGTTCCAAACAGAGCAAGCGTCGCAAAGTTGCTTTGCTGGGGAAGAAGAGATCAGGAGCCCAAGTTGGAATTGAGCCTAAAGATCGAAAAACTTTCACACCATTATGTCGCTCTCCCCCAAGCAACTTAAAATTCTTAATAATAATAGTACTAACACCTAGGTTGAAGACAGCGTGGTTTCTAGGGAGCCCAGGGGTGGAAACGACTTTTTCTGCAAAAAAGATTGCATCATAACACAGACTCATCGTGACAACTGAAAAAAAAAAAAAAGAGAGAGAGAGAGAGAGAGAGATAGGAAATGTTTGTGCCTGGGTAAGAGTACCAGTCGGGTGGTAACAAGGATAAGGCTGTGAATCCTGGGGATTTTTATAAACTCAGAATTTACCTGTTAGGAAATAAGACTTTATTTGAAAGTGTGTTTTGGGTATGCAAAGAATGCATATTGCCTTTTATCACTTTTTTTCACATTAATAACCTATAGGCTGTCAGATTTTCTTTCACTAACCACTTGTATGTCTGCTATATATTATCATGCACTTGTTAGCTTTTTCTTGCTCACTTCCACCCTCATGCTGTGTGTTTTATTTATATTTTCCATTATCTGGAAAAATCTCCATGCTCAGGGATAAAAGGTGTGACTTCAAGGACTGTGGGAGAGGTGAGAGTTGGGGTCAAGGTCATTTCACTTTGCCTTTAGCCCCTCCCCCTCATGTTTTGGTGACACTTTATTTCATGTTATTGGTGTCTCTAGGAATATTTGTTCTAAACTCTTGTGAATTTGTCATTAAAAGAAACCCACAATATTTCTACTTCCTTGAGCCTCTGGTTAGCAGTAGAATCCTTGTATGACTTCGGGTAGCATGAAAGATTGACCATGTCTTTACCTGAACAGATTGGCTGTTTAAAATTTTTCTTTATTTTTAGTGTATTTTTTTGTTTACCACATACGTATATTTTTCAACATTTGCGCATGCTGAGTGATGCTACATGCACTGTTGATTGTAAATGTTGTAGTTATCGAGTAGGTAAATGGGTACCCCCTTCCCCTTCCTCTTCCCTGTTTCCCCTCCCCCTCCTTTCTGTTTACTGAGCTTCTAAGAGGTTGCTTTGCTAGCATTTGTGCTCACATAGCAACATGTGCCCAGAGCACACCAGGCTGGTCTATATGGCGTCAGCTGGGGAATAGCTGCTCTAAACACTCATTAGCAGACCTCTCTCTAAGCCCAGCACACGACCTAGCTTTTACTGCCTAGCTCTCATCCTTAGTGAGAAACTTTCGTATTCACTACACCATGAACATTGTGTGGGACACATCTATTCTCATTTATTGTTCACAATTACATTTTTCTGCTTTTTATAATCCATGTTGGAAATATTTCCTATATGATATAAATGATTTAGGGTCACTCATTATGTTATCTCCTTGACATTTTCTTTTTCACCCATAGCCCTCTCTGCCTTAACATCTACCTAAGAGTGAAGCGCTGAACTATTTTTTCCCATTGCTTATGCTTAATTTTGGCTCAGTCTATAAATAGTCTCACCATGAACAGCACCACATGTAACCTCTCCATTTCCCAGAAATATTTTCTACCTCATTGGTTATAGCCTGGGTGAAATGATGATTTGTGTCTTTCAAATTTACATCAGGCCCTTCAGTATTTTGGTTGAAAGGGGAATTCCCGCATTGTTCATCCAATCAAATAGCAGTTCTGAGTTGTTCCCATCAAGGAGTCACCTCACTGAGTGTTCTTATCCGCTCTTAATCGATTCTTTCTCCAAAAATCATTTTGAATCTATCTCTAAAATCAAGTTGCATAGAAGGCCTGTTGCTAATGGAAGTTTTCCCAGATGCTCATGGATTGGTGATTTTTAGTGAGAGAAGAGCAAGGAATTTGTCCGCTTGTTTAAAGTCCCTTCACATACTGGGTAGGTTAATAGGAAAGTCATTCTTTGTAGTGGAATATTAAAGCAATTAACCTATCAGACTTTGGCAGGTTCTAGATTTTTGCTATGTAATCAGCCCCACAAAAGTCTAGATGCATGCACATACATAAATCTGTTTTGGAGCACATCTATTCAAAGCAACAGAAGTCTCCATTTTGCCCCCCAAAAACCTTTTTTCCCCTTTCCAGGCAGAAATGGTAAAACTTGTAAATGATGCTCTGCATGTGGAACACATTCCATCATTAGCAATGGAAACAAGGCAATAATAGTCACTCAATCCAGGCTCTTTTCAAGGGTCTAAATGCGGAAAGCTCTTCAGAGGAGGCTGGTAGTGTGCAGTTTTGTGGAATTCAGGCTAAAATCCTGGGGTCAAGATTTTTGGAAAGTCGTAATTCAGTCTTTAGATTTCCTGTGGTTGTTATGCTTTAATCTAGACAAGTGCAGAAATAAGTCAGGAGAAATTTGAGACTGTCTACTCATGGTCCCTAATGCTAACTCAGAAGGAAGGATTATTTTGAATCATGAAAAGAGAATTTCTTGGTGTCAGCTTATAAAATGCTGAAGCCCATCAGAACGCAAGGATACAAGAACTATTTAAATGAAGCCTTTTACCCATGCTTGTTTGGGAAAAGTGCACCTGCATTTGGTGTTTTATCACCTCTCTCTGGTTTTATGTAGAAATGCTTGACAATTTCATATGAGTCAAGCAAGCTGAAATCACTGTTGAGAGAAGTTCTTTCCGTGTCCAGGATCTAGAACCTCAAGGAATAGGAGACTTGTTTCTTTCGTCCAAGTACAAACTTCCTAGGGAAGCAGACAAAACATTGAAGCAGGTGGAAGACTGGGAAGGCACACTAACTTCTTTTTATAAAGTAATTCAAAGACACTTTCAAATCGGGCATCATTTAGGTGTCAAAAGCTGCCAAAATGTAATACACATTGCAATTTTCACAGATGACTAATCTCAGGAAAAATGTGTTGGGGCACATTCTTGCATAATAACTTGGATGAAGAGGGAGAAGAGAAAAGACTGTAAGGAGGCATTTTTCAAAGACAGTGCACCTTGCCTCTCTGTAAGGGGGTGAACAAAAACAAGATAAATTATTTGATTTTTTTGTTTGCACATGGCTTGGCAGAGATTGGTTTTGTTAAGTACTTAATATGGTTTTGGTGGGGAGAAAGCAAAAGTGCAATCGTCATTATCAGGGCTTCAACGGATTTCTGATCTTTTTTTATGTGTTGTTCCTTGTCTCCCTTTAATGCAGGAGATAGATCTGGTTGCTTGAAGTGTGGAGAATCACTTTTATTTTTTTAAGCTCTGTGCTGCATTAATTTGTATTTGATAAAGAAAACATCTCTGCCTTTTCTTTAGGCTTTTGTTAATTAGCCTAAAAATAGGGGGGAAAAATAGTGTCTTTGGAGCTAAGCAGGAAAGTTGAAGTCAATGGATAGTTTTTACCTAGGATAGGATAAGGCAAGAGCAGAAAACTGAGAACTGCTGTTTGTTCACATTAGGTAAAGGTGAGTGCCTTCTCCATAGGAACATACAGCAAACAACAGCACTTGGAAGTGAAAGTAAGCTGACTGACATTTATGATCTATTCCTACACAGTTGCCTCTGTTTGGGAAAACACAGAATTGGACTCGTATGAAATGAGTTCCTGCCTTATCTCAATCCACTAAAGACCTGGTCCTTTGGCACAAAGGTGCTTACTTCCGAGCCTGTCATTACACACGGCAGTCCCATCTCTGGAGAATTTAAGGACTCTGATTGCTAGGCAACAGAATCACTCTCTGTGCCCCCAGAGCAAATCTGTGTCTTCAAGTCAGAATCACTTGCGCTAACAGAGATGTTATCAGGCATTTCTGCATAGTGGCTGCTTGAAGTGTGCAGACCAAGGAAGCCAGCTCAAACATTTGCCAGAAATTGGGATCCATTTCAGATGATTCAAAGGACTTGTCTGCTCAGTTTCATCATTTAAGCAAAATAAGCCAAGCCCTCTGATTTCAACCTTGTCATATGCTTCCATAGTGCACCTGCAATGCAATTAATATTAACATTCTGCATTCATATGCAATGTCCTCTAGATGTGTCTGACTTCTTAAAGCTCCATGACAAACCTTGGAGTTAGAAAGTCTTTTTTTCTGCTTAATAACTTGGGATCCTCACAAGCAGAGGAAGCAAAAGAGGGGAGCGGTAGACCCATAAAACAGAATATTTTAGATTGCTTGCAAAAAATAGGAGAAAAGGGAGACCTGAAATTTTGGTGGAAAGAGTGTCACAAACAACTAACTTTTCTGGGTTTAAAGATTTTATGCTTTTAAATATAGTTTAAAAAAGTCTTTTAGGGCACAAAGAGTTAAAAACCCAGTAATTCAATGTAGGGTACATTTATTTATTTATATCTGACTCTGTGTCTTGCTAGGAAGTGTTGCTTTAGGGAGCACAGCCCTTAATACTGACTTTTTGGTAATGAATGCTGTCTCTGTTTTTGGCAGGACCTGTTCTCTGGATGTCAGCTGAGTTACTAAGGTAACTTTGCATGTCAGTAAACAGACCTTGGTAGAACCTCAAGGCTCCTGGAGACCCCCATCTCTCCTTATTTTTTTTTTGGTGTGTGTCCTCACTGAACATTCAAAACTGTTTCTCCAAAGGGTTTTGCAAAAACTCAGACTGTTTTCCAAAGCAGAAGCACTGGAGTCCACAGCAGAAGCGATGGGCAGTGTGCGGACCAACCGCTATAGCATCGTGTCTTCAGAAGAAGACGGCATGAAGCTGGCCACCATGGCGGTTGCAAACGGCTTTGGGAATGGGAAGAGCAAAGTCCACACCCGACAACAGTGCAGGAGCCGCTTTGTGAAGAAAGACGGGCACTGTAACGTTCAGTTCATCAACGTGGGTGAGAAGGGACAACGGTACCTTGCTGACATCTTTACCACGTGCGTGGACATTCGCTGGCGGTGGATGCTGGTTATCTTCTGCCTGGCTTTCGTGCTCTCATGGCTATTTTTTGGCTGCGCATTTTGGTTGATAGCTCTGCTCCATGGGGATCTGGATGCACCGAAGGAGAGCAAAGCTTGTGTGTCTGAGGTCAAGAGTTTCACGGCCGCCTTCCTCTTCTCCATTGAGACCCAGACCACCATAGGCTATGGTTTCAGGTGCGTCACAGACGAGTGCCCAATCGCCGTTTTCATGGTGGTGTTCCAGTCCATCGTGGGCTGCATCATCGACGCCTTTATCATTGGCGCAGTCATGGCAAAGATGGCAAAACCGAAGAAGAGAAATGAGACTCTTGTCTTCAGTCATAACGCCGTGATCGCCATGAGAGACGGCAAGCTCTGTTTGATGTGGCGAGTGGGCAATCTTCGGAAAAGTCACCTGGTGGAAGCTCATGTTCGAGCGCAGCTCCTCAAATCTAGAATTACTTCAGAAGGGGAGTACATCCCCCTGGATCAAATAGACATCAATGTTGGCTTTGACAGTGGAATTGATCGTATATTTCTGGTGTCCCCAATCACTATAGTCCATGAAATCGACGAAGAGAGCCCTTTGTATGACTTGAGTAAACAGGACATTGACAACGCAGACTTTGAAATTGTCGTGATACTGGAAGGCATGGTAGAAGCCACGGCCATGACCACACAGTGCCGTAGCTCCTACCTGGCAAATGAAATCCTTTGGGGCCACCGCTATGAGCCCGTCCTCTTTGAAGAGAAGCATTACTACAAAGTGGACTATTCAAGGTTCCACAAGACTTACGAAGTACCCAACACACCCCTTTGCAGCGCCAGAGACTTAGCAGAGAAGAAATATATCCTCTCAAATGCAAATTCATTTTGCTATGAAAATGAAGTTGCCCTCACAAGCAAAGAGGAAGACGACAGTGACAATGGTGTTCCAGAAAGCACAAGTACAGACACACCCCCTGACATTGACCTTCACAACCAGGCAAGCGTACCTCTAGAGCCGAGGCCCTTACGGCGAGAATCCGAGATATGACTTAACTGATTCCTTCTCTGGAATAGTTACGTTAAAACACAGTCTGTTGGTGAAAGGCCCAAAACAGTGATTCAGACGACGGTACTGGCGAAGAGGTGGGTCAAGGCAAGTGGCCACCAGGGACTGAGGCGAGCACGAGGGTTTCAGAGAAAGACTCTAAGCTCAAAGATTAACAGAAAGCACTAAACATGCCTCCCCATGACCCGATGGCACATATACATGTTGTAGAATAAGTTATGGGGGCTTTATGTTTTGTTTTGTGTTTTTACAAGACTTGAACTTGCAGGCAAGCCTTGATTGGGTATTCGACTTATCCAGAATGCTTCTCTTTAGGGAACAAGGATGTTTTTAATGGCATAACAAAGGCAAGACTCTGCCTTAATCTTGAAAAGCTGCTAAAAACTACATGAACACAAACTATATTTTTGTTGCAGTGTAGTTTTTCTTTAGTGTAATTTAAAAGTCAGTATTGAACTTTGTTGAAAGCTCATGATATGTGCTTCAAAGTGGCAAGTATTTGGCTGTTAGCTGCCAAAATGAGAGCCTGATTTTTCGAGGCCAGTAATTTGTTTGCTAGAATTGATTCTCTCTCTCTTTCTCTTTCTCTCTCTCTCTCTCTCTCTCTCTGTTACATAATGGCATTATGTAATGCTAGCCAAATGGTAGCCTCTGGGTTGGGGTTTTTTTTCCTTCATGATGTTAATGGATTATCTCAAATTTTAAGTCAGACTACCTAAAATAAATACCAAAGATAATGCACATTTTTGCACAGTGAAGCTTATACTAAAAAAGGAAGAAAAGCTTCCTTGAAATCAAGAGACAATGACTTTGAACCTCAGTAAGACCTGAACTGCCCTCTAGAAAATAGGACATTGTACACAGAGTCTAGTGCTTTTTAAATTTTGTTCTTTCATGTAACTTTTGTATTAAAAGAGGAAGAAGAAAGGGGAAGTGAAATTCACACACACACACACACACACACACACGCATGCACACACACTACAAACATCCTTTCTCTCGTGCCAGGTAGAGCTGGTGAGGCTAACACATAAGGTGAGAGTTGGTGACATGTAATTAGATTTTTCTGGGTTTTTACCCTTTTTGCACATTCCAAAATTTATTCCATAAGACCTTGGCTGAATTTAGCTGTCATCCTCAAAACTGAGCCATCCACCATGGAAGGTAAATTGGTTTAAGCCCTTGTGGTTGAATTTATTTCCCTGACTCCCAGGACATTTCCAGATGGACTTTGCCTTAGACAAGATGCCACGCTGGCTCTCTGGGCTGGTTTTTCTGATCAGTCTGTCTGGAGAAATGCCAAAGTTGGGGAGGTGGCGAGATGCAGACAAGCCTCTTTGGATGTAATACATCCGCTCAAGTATTCGGGAGGGAGAGGAAAATTTATCTTAATGGTAGAGGGTAGGAATGAAAATGTCTCAGTATTTTGGGGTCAACAAGAGCCATGCAAAACATCACACAACCATGAGGAAAGGAGGTAATGGTCTATAAGAGTTATTTCTCCTTTCTGTATGCCCACTCGTGATTGAAACTGAGCTGATCCTTGTCCCCTGTGGACTCCTAGAGTGGGTGATTATGGACACTGTTTTCCAGAATCCTATCCTGCTTGGCTACCTGACTTGCTAAAAACAATTTTTCCCCCACTCTAGCTTAATAATGGAACTCTTTTCTTGGTCTGAAATACCCTATCTGTGAATTCTGAGGTTACTAACTTTTCTTTTTAATTGGAGTCTCAAAACCAACTTTCTTATGGTATTATGTCCCTGTATGCCATTAAAAAACAGCTTGTTCTAGAATCCTGTATTTTGTGAATCGATGTTTGTGAGTCTCTGGGTCCTGAGCAGCCATATTCGAATGCAGTGCCTGCACTAAGGTCACAGCACCGGCTGTCGTCAGCCTTCCAAGTCCTTGGGTTTGAAAACTGGCGTTAATTTTCATGGAAACCAAGACAGAGGGTGTCAAGCAAGTGGATGCTGTCTGAAATCCAAACTGAAAGGCAGGTTTGGGAAGTTGTTCGGAGAGTTGGAGGGACTGGGATTGAGTGAACGAATCGACCCAAGAGGCGGCAGTTTGGCCGTAGACAGTGAGAGGGTACCGAGGGCTTCAGCTGCTGCTATCTGATATTTTGCAAAGGAAAATAATCAAACCAAAGAGTATTCCGTGATATGTAAATTAAATGAAGATAGAGTGGAAAGCGGGGGCGACCGCAGAGATGGCCCCTCCCAGACACAGTGCTGCCACTCGAAAAGACTAGAGATATTTGAAGAGGGGTGGGTGTGGGGGGGCAGGAATGAGGGAGGGAAATCTTTCAACTTCTTTCTGAAATAGAGAAAAAAATCTAAAACTTCTGGTGCACAGGTTTGTTTGTTTGTTTTTTTCAAGAAAATTTTGCAGAAGCTATGTTTTTAAAGTGTACATTTTATAAAGTTTATCAGATATTTTCATATTTAAAGCCAAATGTAAATAGAAGTCTGTAAAGGGAAAAAAATGCCATAGAAAGTATAATTTCAGTGCAGCAATTTCTGAGAGCTATAGTACCTATATGCTACCGGTTAGCATGGTTTTAGCAAATATTTACCAGCCTTATAAGGTTTGTATTGCTACGTTCTTCGGTTATTTATTTCAGCATGGACTGTTCATTTGAAAGCTTTTTTTCTAGTTATTAGTATTTTAACAGTTACAAGCTTTAAATGGCTTTTTTTTTTTTTTGTCAAGAGCCATGACACAGGTAATGCACAATATTTTTTTTTGCTGCATTTTACCTTTAAAACATTTGAAACATTTGTCCTTACTGCCCAGGTTTCCTTAATTAGTGCACATATGTCATTAGAATGCAGATTGAAGGGACTCACCGTGAATCTCTGGGGTCTATTCCTAGATACATGTTGCTTCTCTATTGCAAGCAAATCCTCATAGAATTTACTTAAGACTTATTCCCCTTTAAAGAATTCTTTGCCCATATCTGGCTGGGCATTATATTTTTGGGAGGAGGCATAGATTCTTGGTTATCCTATTTTTAAATAAAATGTAGACAAAGTGAATTCTATTTTGATTATTGAGAAAGGAATAGTTTTCTATCCCTCTAAGCATATACTTGAATCAGACATTTAAAGAATGTCACACTATAGCACTGTAGTCATTTCCAAATTCCTGGAGAAAGTTTTATCTTATAAAAAAATTCTGTTAATGAATTATTTTTCCCTTCACCTCCTTTCTTCACTACAAACTCCCATCCCAAACCTTGATGTTTATTTCATGAACTGTATCCCCCCCAAGTTGTTATCCTTCCAAATACCAAATGTCAGTTATATTATATGATAAGCCACTCAGTAAAGGCAAGAAGCTTGTCCTGAGAAGTAGAGTGAGTTCTTTTTCACTCTGTGTCTACTAATGTTAAGGTGAAAAAAAAGTGTTGCATAGTCATCCCCCCACGCACACCCCCAACTAGAATCTCTTTTCTAGTGACGTTGGGTTTCAGCTCCGGCCTCTGGTGAGTTGAACAAACCCAGCCTCGTACAACCTAAATAGTTATTAGCTTCCTGTTTGCCATCCTTTTGTATCTAAAGTCTTCCTATTGTACTGCACAAACCATGGATTGTACATATTTTTATATATTATGTCTTATTTTATTATTTCTAAATAAAAACTTCAATGTCAAAAAACAAAGTGGTGCAAGATCTTTGGGCCTCCTCCGTGCGAATGTAGAATCTTTGGGCTGTAAAGCAAATGTTCACACACAATGGGAGAGAATGCTATGGTTTGCATGAATGGAGCCATAGAAATAGCCTACACAGGCAGGTGCGGTGGGCCGGCAGATTAGTTTAATCCGAATTAGAGGAAGTCAAGCTCATATTTTGTTTTCGGACAGAATGACCTAGGTAGAGAGGAGAAAAAACAGAGAAACAAGCAAACAAAACTAACAAAAATATATATAATAAGGTTTAAATTTTGATTTTTTGGTTTAATGATAGTAGTCTCTTTTCTTGGAACCTAGATATTACCTCACTCTCAAAAAGCAGATTAGGATATTGTTATTGTATAAAAGATCAGGAGTAGGCAAATGTATTTTGTAAAGGGCCAGATAGTAAAAGTTTTTGGTTTGCGGAAAAGAGTCTTTGTCTGAACTCCACGACTCTGACCAGGGAGTGTGAAAGCAATCACAAATAATATGCGATAAATGGCATGGCCGTGTTTCAATAAAACTTTACTTAAAACTGCACGTGGTGAGCCAAATTTTCAACCTCTGCTATAGAAGAAGTTGAAGTTAGATTTTAAAGCTCATGAACCATGAAGTGGTACTAGAATTCAGGTGTTTTCTGCTTCCAGACCTGGTTTAGTCCACTAAAGCTATATGTTGTTTGAAGGCACAAAGTTATGGAGGATATATGGTCTCAGAGAAAGTATCAGTTCTGGCAAATTTGGGATAACTTAATTATTTTTCAAGATTGAGAAAACCTGCATTCTGAAATAAGGGCTACTCAATGTTTTTCTTTGGCAAACATTTAACTACGTTTCAGTATGGTTCTAAGTTCTTAATAAGTTTTAAGTAGTTATATCTTAACAGCAAGCCTATGGAGTAGGCACTTTTATTATCCCCATTTAAGAAATGAAGAAACTGAGGCCCAGAGAGGCTGAGCATCTCATGCAAGCATGCACAGCTAGTAGGTAGTAGAGCTGAGATTTCAACTAAGGCCATTCAGCCCTGGGCTGTGCTTTTTATCACAAATCTGTGTTTTGCATTTGGAGTCATTCTTGGTAAAAGTTTCACTATCTAGTCTAAAGTCTCTCTGCTTCTCAGTTTTCTTCTCCTAGGTGATGACAATGCTTTTTTTCCTCCACACAGAAAACACAATTCCTCCTTTAGTTCCTGGAGAGAGGGGAAGACTGACAAAGAGCAGACTAATGAGAAATTTAAGCATTGGTTGTGGGATTTGGTACATTTCACACTTCAGATTATCAATTAACTAGGAATTGCATGGGCCTGTCCAGCAGCAAACCCACAAAGCTCTGTTTCTTGCCAAACTGCAGGCAGCCACCACGCCATGGGCATCTGCCATCTTCCCAGTGTACACAGTCAAAGGTGTAGCCCGACCCTGCTGGTGACGGGTCCTACTGTGCAAGACGGGGAATGGCAACTCCAGGCAGTGACTTGAAAGCTCTAAGCTTCGCCTCTACTTTGAAAATGTTTTTATTAAACATGTACAAAAAGAAAGAGCAGGGCAGGGGTTCAGACTCCTTCTCCTTAATGCCTTATTCCCAGTGATAGCTAAGCAAGGCCTCCAAACTCTGGCCTGTGTCAGTAGCACCTGTCAGGATGATATTTGTAAATAAGAAAACATTTTTCTCTAGCAAGTTCCATTTTAAAGCTGGGAAACTGATGAAATCAAGCAGATTGGCTTCCCTAAGTTGAAGGAAAGAATGAAAGAGAGAGACTAGCCTTATGCACTTTAAGTGAAGTGAAGAACCAAGCGCATGATTCGCATACTTTAAGGCCCCAGAGACGTCCTTTCCAAAACAGTTCCGGTGGAGGATCTGAGCGCCCTGACGACGTGAGCCCTTGTGCCAGGGTTGCTGTCATGCCTTTTTCAGAAGTTACCTATTTGCAAGGTAACACCTGCAAGATGCAGGTGCAGTAAGATGATCGCAATACCTGGCTCAGGAATAAGGTGACCAACTGTCCTGGTCTGCCTGGGAAAGGGAGGTTTTCCCAGGATGCAGAATTTGCAGTGCTAAAACTGGGGAAGTTCTGGGAAAACTGGGATAAGTCAGTCATCTACTTTGGAAGCAAGAGAAGCAGAGTAATTGGAGTGGGGCGGGGGGACAGGTAAGAAGAAAGTGGAAGGGGAGGAGTTAGAGACAGGTGAGCGAGACTCCACACAGGAGTGTACCTAACTGGTAAGAATACTAATGATGAATAATTACATATAAGTGGCTCTCTCCAAATGACTGAAGTTTGTAGCCTCAAGGCATTCATTGTTTTGGAAGATTGGTTTTCTAGAATATTATACACTTCTCTGCCTTATTCAAAAGAGGATCTGTGTTACTTAATGTTTCCTTATGTGGCCCATGCTCTCCCTGATAGGATGTGCTTTGAAAAGTTTGTCCATTAAACCATCAGTTGCTGCTTTGTCCAGGGCCAGAAATCCCCAAGCACCGTCTAGGTTTCTGCTTCTGATCTGCTGTGTCAAGAAAAGCAGATAATTCATGATGAGGACTACATAACTAGTATCTGACCGCCGGGCAGGCCAGAAATGCGCAGAGAAGACACAAAAGACATGCCTCAAATGTAGGGGTAATTGATAACTGTACTCATTTTCAGAGATCTTTTTATTTTCAGATTTGAGACTATATTCTGAGAGACTGAAGCTGTTAAGAGGTCTGATGTCTAAAAAACGATTCCATTTGACCAAAAATTTGTTGAGGAACTATTATACGGTTGGTGTTGGTTACTCCAAGTTTTCGATCTGGACTTTTCAACAACAGATCAAAGTTTGGAAAATGGCCAGTGCAGGTGTATGTTCATTTTGTCTTACATTTGAGAAAAGTAACTGGGTTTTAGATAGAAACAAATTTACATATAACAGTAACTACCAATTATGGAGTACTTAATGGCCTATGAGGCGCTGTGTAAAGATGCAATTCTTGCCCTCCATGTACAGAAAGCATCGCTTAATTAAGTATTTTTTCAGGAGTGTCACTGTGGAGTCAGATATTTCTCTAATGTCTTACTGGGAATGGTTTAAGTTGATTTTGTCAAAACTCTGTAGCCAGGGAAGCTGCTTTTCTATTTATGTTAAATGACCCTTTGGACCCTAGACTCTCCTTGGATTAGGTCTGTGACATCATCTTCACTTCGTCACCTCCCTGGTCCTGACACATGATCCAAAAGACACCCCTGGGGCAAGTACCTGGGTGTGCGCCTGTATAAGGAGCCCATGAATCAAGTTCTACACTGAATAGTGTTCTTTCTTCTTTTGGCTTTCATGTTTCTAATTTTTGCTAATGTGTGTCTACATCTGAAGTCCCAGTGAAGCAACGTTTTACTTGATCCTGCGGGCCAAGGGAGTGTTTCCCTAAATAGCATGTAGGGGTGTCCTCGGAAGGAGCTGCGTGAGGCACTTAGACACAGATGGGTGAAAACAGATTATTTACCAACAGAGGAAGTTCCAAGGCAAGTGTGCACACATCCCTAACAAAAAGAAATGCTCTCAGATGGCAGCCATTCGTGTGAAGATGAGGGAAAGTTGAATCAGCATTCGGGAGGCTTTC